AAGAAAGAAGGGAATTTTATCATTTTCAACAACATGAATAAACCTGGAAGACATTATACTTAGTGAAATAAGCCAGGCACAGGCATGAAAAGAAAAACACCCGATGGTTTCACTTACACGTGGAAGCTAAAAAGTTGAACTCATAGAAGTAGAGAGCAGCATCGTGGTAACCAGATCCTGACCGGGGGAGGGAAGGAATGGAGAGACCTTGGTCAAAGGATACAGAGTTTCATGAGACAAGAGGAATAAGTTTTTGCACAGCCTAGCAACTAGAGTTAATGTATTGTATATTTTAAAATTGCTAAGAGAGTACATTTCAAATAAGGATAAGTGAAGTCATGATATATTAATTAGATTAATTTGATCATTCCATATTATATGCATATATCAAATTTCATATCACATTGTACCCCTTAAATATATATAATTATTTGTCAATTAAAAATATATTTTTAAAAAATCACATACAGAGTTAATATATTTTTTAAAAATCACATACAGTGGAGGAATGTGACACAGACTACCTTAGCCAGGCGGTTACAGTCAACATGAACAGTGGTAGATCATGCCTAAATCATAGTAGATACCCTTGTACCTACTTTACCTTTACCTCTGTGGTTTTCCTACCCAAAACCCATAACCCCAGTCTAACGATGAGAAAAACATCAGACAAATCCCAATTGAGGGATATACTACAAAATATTTGACCAGTAATCCTCAAAGCAGTCAAGATAATCAAAAACAAGAGAAGTCTGAGAAACTGTCACAGCCAAGAGCAACCTAAGGAGATACCATGACTAAGTGTAATGTGGAATCCTGGATGGGTTCTGGGAACAATAAAAGAACATTAGGCTAAAACTAAGGAAATCTGAATAAAGAATGGACTTCCATTAATAATAATGTCAGTTCAATACTAAAATATACTCAATATTGGAAAAATGTGGATTCAATACTAGAATAAATATTGCTTCACGTTGTGAAAATTGTATTATATAATAGTAAGCATTCACAGCAAGGGAAACTCGATGTGGGGCATATGGGAACTTTTTACTATCTTGGCAATTTTTCTGTAAATATAAAACTGTTCTAAAAAATGAAGTTCATTTTTAAAAACAAGCAAATGAAATGACATATGGATGAGTTCTAATACATTGCCAAAGACAATGCAAAATATTATAGCCACTTTGAAAAACAGTGTGACCAATCCTTATAAAAATAAGCATGCTATATGACTCAGCAATCCCATTCCTAAGTAGTCAACCAAGAGAAAAGAAGACTAGAATATTCATGTAAAAACCTTTAAACAAATGTTGATTCATAATTGCCAAAACCTGGAAACAATCCAAATGTTTGCAACTGGTAAACAGATAAACACACTGTGATACAGTCATACAATAAAATATTCCTCAGCAATAAGAAGGAACAAACTACTGATACATACAACCATACAAGTCAATCTCAAATGAATTATAATGAGTGAAAGAAGCCAGTTTCAAGAGGCTAATACTGTATGATTTTACTTAGACGACATTCTAGAAAAGACAAAAATATAGAGACAGAAAACAGATGTATGGGGCTAAGATGAATCGTGTCCAAGTCTCCCTGAATAACACAGCCTAGAAGTTCATCTTGGTTTTGTCATTCTCCTTAAATGGACAGCCATCCAGGCATTCAAATTCTCTTCATTTTGTCAGGCTTATCTTGCACAGCTCCCTAAACAAACCTACTTCAGACAAGGTTACATTTTTTATTACATTAGATAAATAATGCTCCAAAATTTTGTTGATATTATTCTCCATAATTCGAAT